TCAAGTAGAGGGGTGGGATATTTTTTTCTTTGTAAGCGTGTTGTAAACAATGGGTAGAGGAGACGATTACTAAGTTAGAGGGGAGAGAACGTGACTTGCATCGCGATATTTGAAAACATGGCGATGTTTAACCTCATCCAAAAAAGGCAATGAACCTAGAAGGAAGACGAATTTATATCTTAGTCTTGCACCAGATTACCTTCCCATGTTCACTTTAGTATTACAGTTTTCATCAAACTTCTTTTTGACTTGAACGTCTTTAATTTAAGAAGGTTTACTTATACATAAGACATTACGTCTAATTACAATTTTTTATTTTTACCAATCAATGTATTTTGTTTTTCTATATCTTGCATTGTCATCTTAATTTTTTGATCACCTTAGTAAAAATTTGATTAAGATTATAAACTTCAAGTTTTAAAAAACAACAACAACGTTATAGTACGTCGTGTCAAATGACACACCGTTTAAAATTTCTACATTTAAAGTTCACCAATATAATGACGTAAAAACTAAATATGATATGACGTTAGCATACATATCATTCAATCTAATCACTCTAAAGTACAAATCAATAATTTTTATTGATTAAGGGGCTGGGTGAGTTATTTTTATTCGGGTGCGCAGGGAAGGTTTGGAGTTGGTTGGGACAGATTTTATACACGAGTCGGTGACGTTTTCACCGAGGCAGGGTTCGAGGCTAGTCCATGTATGTTTTAGAATTGTTAGGGGTCCAGTCTATAGTAGGGTCGGGGGAGTTTTGTTAACACAGAGTGATGTTGATACAAGCATGTTTTAGAATTGTTGGTAGCCGAGTTCATACTAGTGTCGGTGAAGGTTGGGTTTTGAACTCGGACCATGCATGTTTAGGAGTTGGATGCGGTAGAGTTTACACTAGGGACGGAGCTGTTTTGGTTACACCTAGGGTGGTTTCAAAGTTCGTACATGCATCATTGGAATTGTTAGGGGCCGTGTTCATACTAGGGTCGGTGAAGTTTTCACCGAGAGTGCTTTCGAAGTTGGTACATGCATGTTTTGGAATCGCTATAACGTTGTTGTTGTTTTTTAAAACTTGAAGTTTATAATCTTAATCAAATTTTTACTAAGGTGATCAAAATTTAAACACGCTTAGCGTTTGTATTAGGTGGCTCTATCAGTATTATCTAAGCGACTGAAGCATGGATTTCCGCATAAACATGTGCAATATAAAACTAGTCTAAATCCAGAAGCAAAGTGGACTAGATCTATTTGGCACATGCTTAAAAGAGATGAAAAATGACTTTAAGAAAAGCTCTTCTGCAGAATTTAAAAGAAAACAATATCTCAAACCACCCTACGTGAAACAATCATGAAAATTTACAGGATATTTAAATACTAGCGCCATATCGCGTTAACCAACAAGCTCAATTAGTCTAGCGACGCTTTTGTCTAATTTGTTTAGTTAGTAATTGGTTTAAATTTATTTAATGAAAATAAAAATATTAGGCTTAAATGGCGAAACATTCAGGATAATAATATTCAATTACAACTTATATTTAGACAAATGCTTCAGTCGCTTAGATAATACTGATAGAGCCACCTAATACAAACGCTAAGCGTGTATAAATTATCATGATCGGACATTGTAGTTGTAATATAAGGTTTGTAACCCATTAGTCCTGGATTTATACTGCTCAATATATTGCTATCCCTATCCCATACCTATACATGTAACTAACTCTATTTCTATCCCTACTCCATATCCTAAATAAAATATTACATACGCTAAATACGTACAATAATTTATAACACGCTACGTATACTTTTCCCTACTTAAACACAAACTTCAATCTACCATCTGCTTTTACTCACATTAACTAAAATAATTAACGTATTTTGCTAAAACACCAACCGGTCGCGCCTATAGTTGCCAGAAATTTTATTCATATTCATAATATTTATTTTAACTTAACTATCTTATCTGAGCAGAATTATTTATCAAGTCTATTTTAATCATTTCGAACTTTAATAACACACAATCACCTTTTTTTTAAACTTAGTATCAATCATTGTCATCTAAACTCAACTTATTTCTACCATAGGAATAAAGGAAGCCAACTTTAACATGTCGTAACACTAACCCAACTCAATTAGCCTATCTTATCAAACTAGACATCGTTACACGTTAATTATAGGCCTAAATTTAAAAAAATATATGTTATACTTGTTTGATAAATATAATTTTATAAGATAGTTATCGGTCTAAACGCAATGTGCTTTACTACACGTTGAACGATATTAGTGACAAAGCACAGAAATAGCTAAATAGCAAAATAAACTGACACATTCAATTTAACATAGGCTACCAATATCTGTTAGAAAATTAAAACTTATACACATTATTAGTCAACACAACACCATATTAAATGACCAGTGATCAATTGACTATTTAAGTTAAATGATTCCGTTAAAAATTGGGTTATTTAAATGTACTTTTGTGGTTTTTTAAACTAGTTTTTATTTTTATTATTTTTGGCCGAGAAAATTAAATAATTTCATAGCTTACGTCTTTAGATCTAAATAAAATGTTAATGAAACAATTCATTTCTCTATATTCTTAAATTGGAAGATGTGGTAAGCGAATCTTTTTGAAGATGACGTCATTAATATTGTATATCATTTTCGACATTTGATTTTCATTTCTATTTTTTCATGTTTTTATTTAACTTACTTCCACTATTTGTCTATATCGAAACAGACCCGCGATATTTCGAGCACTTCTAACTAGCCAATTTATCTGAAATTCGGCATGTGTGTCAAGACTTGATGACTATGCAATTTGAAACCAAATTTGTTTTAATTGGATTACTAATTAATTTTTTAATGAATTGATTAAAACTTTCTGAAACTAGTAGTAGTAGGGTGTTTACTTCTACTACTATTCCGCATTTGTTCATTTGGTGCGCAATAGTGTTTAGTCATGCAACTCTAGTGTATTTAAACATTTTACAGTACTGGAAAAGATGCATTAAAAACGTTTTAATAGCAAACTTTTATGTAACTGTACATCGAAAAGGAGAAAATAAATGATTTTTGTTGAAATATATAATAATAATTAACTATCAAGTAAAACCCGATTTTTAATCATATAAACATTTTGAAATTATAAAACTAATTTTTTAAATACCCTCAGCCCCATTTTTATTGCAGAAGGATACATCTATATACTATTAAAAGCTCTGTTATGTTTACAAGCTTGTATATTTTTGTTTGTCTGATCCGCTTGATCAGAGCATTTGCGCTTTTTATAGAGTTCTTACATATGACGTCACTGATCGTTCAGTATGTAAACATCCGCTATCGCGGTGTACAGGTCCTCATTGAAAATGGCAATCTGTGCTTGACTAGAGAATCTAGAATTTATACTAACTAGATCACGATGCATTTTATGGCAACACGAATATAAGGATCTTCAACTCCTTAATGTTTGTTTTCTTACGTATTGTTCCTGTTTTGCCGGTGCGAGGCTCTTAACATTATAATTTTTAGACAGCCCAGCGCTGCGCAACAGCTGATTGTTTACTGCCGGTGTTCACCACCGTGATGGTGGACGTAGTTATGTAAAGAATAGTGCTATTTTTCCCCAAACTGTTATACACAAATTTATTTAAAGACGATAATTAAATTTATTGCAATATTCATTTATAATAACACATCTTTAATTATAACAGTTCAGAACAAATACTGTATTTACTTATTTTCACAGCAAACATAGCTTCCATGGCAAACCATGTTGCCCATTCAAAAGTTTAACGCATTTTAAGCTAAATTTTCTATCTACTATAGCTTTAACAATACGTTTGTTTACTATTTTATTACTAATTTTAAAAAGGATACGCCAGACAGTTCTTTTAATTTATGTATACAATAAATTTATCTAGATCTACCGATAAACTATGATTTAAGCTGTCGGAGGAAAGTAGGCCAAATTAAAATTAATTAGTTAAAAAGAAAAAAATAAGTATAACAACACAGTTTTTCTTCTTCTTCTTCGTTCTTAATTATTAGTGTTGAAGGGGATCGTGATTTATCTGCCAGTGGGTTTGAACTCGAGACTTTGTTCGAATTTATCAACCATGAGCTTTTTTGCCGACTCGACCACGCCTCCAACACAATTAAGCGTTACGTGTCAACTCGTTATGCGCCATTGAGGCCATTGACTCCGATTTCAGCCTGCTTTTATTTTTGGATTTGCTTCCATAGCCTTTGTCCAACCAAGAACAAACTACAAGGCAGCAGTTGTTTTAATTTTGGAGTTGTCTCTCCTAGTAGAGTGGCTGTCCCCAGCTAGCGAGCCTCATCTGCCCGAGGGTTCGAACTCGAGACTTTTCGGTTTAGCAAAACAACACAGTAAATAATTGAGTTTCTTCGTTAAACTATTTCAGTCCATAAATATTTAATATAAATATTTTTTTAGCAATGGAATTGGTTAAGTTAGGATAAAATTTAATTCAAAATAATATTTGGCTTGATTTTACTTTCTAAAAGCGGCTAAGTATATAATTCAAAATATTTTCTCCTATCCGTATCTAACAGGGCGGTAAGGTGGCAGCGTGATGGATACTATTTTTAAAAGTTGTGGGTCCGAAACCCATGCAGTAAAATTAAAAAAAAAAACCTTCCCAATCAGATGGTATGCAGTGGAAAATCCCAGTCCACGCCAGTTGGTGTAACTCGTTGTTATTATTTCAACATAAGTTTTAATGATTTTCTTTTGTTTTTCTTAAGAGGTTTGAGGCTAGAAAATATTCTAGAAAGAAATTGATGTTTTTAAACCTTTTTACATAGGGGGGGGGGGGGCACACGTCTTTAACGAATAACCCCTAAATTCATAGTTATCCAAAGGTGGACGGGTGGTCTAGTTTAATATAAAAATGCTGTGCCTATACATGCATTCTAGATTTGTTAAACTTAATTTTACCCATTTCAAAAGCTGCTAAGTATAATACTTTATTCCACAGATATTTGTTATCTTATTCACAAATTGACATGTATGTTGTTCATCTTGGAGGACTTCTAATTGATCTCTCCATTGGCTTTCTGTTATTTTTTAATAAAACAAGATTGTCAGGACTATTTATTGCAACATCTTTTCACTTGATGAATGCCAATTTATTTCAAATAGGTGAGAATCTTTGTTTTAAAATTCTTTTATTTTTACTAACATTTGAATTTACAAACTTTTGAATTTAATACAGTTTGTTTTTTATATTTACAATTTTCATTTCTTTTTCTAGGAATGTTTCCATTTGCGATGCTTTTTACTCAGTTTCTGTTTTGTTCAATGGATTGGCCCCGGAAAATATTTTTTTATATTCCTGATATGTTAAAGTTACTTTTACCAAAAGACATAGAGAAAAAAACAAGTTGCCACTGTATCTACAATAAAGAAGTATTAAAATCTGAGGTGTGAAACTTTTATTGTTTATTTCAAAGCTGTTTTAGTCAAGGTATTTTTTTTTATATTGATGAACACTTTTATTTCAAAATATGTTGAAACGATAAATGTTATTTTTCACGTTTTTTTACGATTTTATTTGAATTAGGTTTTTATTTTACTGTGCTCTTGTCAGCTTTAGTTCTTAAATTTATTAATGTGTCCATTCAGCCTTGATAATTACTTGGCATAATTAGGGAAAAGTAACAATGGCTAGGCATTGCATCAGCCACGCAATCTCTTCATTTATATATAAAATTGACTTTTTAATTCAGTTATATCTATTTTAAAAGCATTTTGTTTCTTTTAGGATTCCATGTCTACAGAATCTGTTATTTTCACTGAAGAGCTTCCCCCAGTACAACCCAAATTACAACACAAATTGTCATCTGCATTTACCTTGGCTTTCATTTTTCTTCAATGTTTCCTGCCATATTCTCATGGCATTACAAAGGTAGATTGTGTTTAAAACATGTTTTTAAATGGAAAAATAAAAAATAAAAGCTTGTATTGTTAAATCTAAAGTAGCAACTCCGAAGAAAGAATTTATCAAAATGTTGAGAAATGTTTGAGAAATGTAGGAAAAACAACTTTTATTAAGGAAATTGAAATTAGTGTGTGACGTTAGATTATTCACACAGTAAACAGAGGTGAGGATCCTGATGTTAACTATACTTGTTTATTCCATGCTCAGTTAATTATTAGTCTTATTACACTAATAAAGTAGGGATAAAAGAGAGAAAATAAACATATTTTACCTTCTGTCAAGATGTCATTTTAGCTTCTGTCATTATGTCTGGTTAACCAATTGTTCGGTCAGGTTGTGCATAAATCATGTAACTCAGTTTTGACCCCTTATAATGGAGCAGTTTCTTTAAAACAGATAACTCTATCTTCGGTAACAAAAGGATAATTTTTAATTTTCAATCTGAAATATTAAATTCATCATCATTAATCCTGTGGACCGTAACTGCACATACTCAAATTCTGTTCATGATATATTAGCTGGTTGTGCTTCACTGATCTATTCCAAAATTTTCAGGGCTACATACTCAGGGCCGGCGCTATCTATAAGGCGAACTAGGCGGTCGCCTAGGGCGCTATCCGTAGAGGGGCGTTAAAATGGGTAATCGCTATTATGAAAAAGTACCTAATAATTATTAACTTTGATTATATTATAAACTAAAGGGTAATCTTCAAAGGCGTAGCGATCTATTTCGGTGCCCAGGACGAACTTTCAATTTTGCGCCCCCTGTTCAAATTAGGCCCATATTTAGTTATTCGAGTTGGTGAAAATGCCCCCCACCCCCACCTCCCTCGTTTGTAAAGGTCGGGGCGCTATTTAATTTGCCTTTTCTTTTTGGTGTTACACAGTTGATGTAGAAAACAATTAAATTAGTCCGTAATGCCAAGTAGCAGTCTATATTCTTTATTTCGACGGTATATAATTCAAGTAATGAGCTTTTTATATTATTACTAGGCATTCTGCCTAGCTTTGCTTAGGTTTACAAAAAAAAATTCATGTAAGTTTTAATGATTAATTAATTGGTGTTTGGCTGTTATGTAGAGTGCTTAGGGCCTAAGTTTAAACAGTCTGAGAATTTTCATGTCATGAATGCATTGGTATATCCTTAAATTTATAGCTCGCAAGGTAATAAGAACTGCTAAGGCTTCATTAATAGTATAAATCCTATATTATATTAAATTTACTTTAACAATTAATTTTTACAATTTCAATAAAATAAATAACTAAATGTATAACGAAATAATTATTTAAACGAATGCTGTACATTGTGGTTTTTGATTTTTTTTAATAAAATATTTTACAAATTATGTAAAAATGATTACATTAATAAGTTACCCCCCCTGTACAAACCGAATGACGTATTCTTTGTTTAATTTTTCCACAAACAATTGTTTATATAAGAAAATATCGAATCTGGGCAAATCTAACGACCCTAAGGGTTTTTTCCCGAAGCGAATACAGTGTTTTTGTTCCCTCTCGTGTCGGTCTACGATATATATATATATATATATATATATATATATATATATATATATATATATATATATATATATATATCTTATATAAGGAGAATTTTACTCGCGGTCATTTTTTAGCCCTCGTTGATTGTTTTATGCCATTTATGCAAAAAATTAGCCAGATGTGCAGACCGTAAGTGCCCTAAAATCTGTGTTGAAATTATCCTCTGTTTTTCTCATTATATACAAAGATTATATAGGGAAATACAACTGGTCAGTTTTGACCCTTTACGAAGTTTTCCCAGATATGCCTAGTTTTTTATGACACCCACAGGCGTTCTTCTACCACCTCACAAAATATCAAGGGGGGTCGTTCGGCAAAAGTTTTTTTTCGTAATATAGCTCATATAAGGCGCCGGTCAGTCGAGGTCAGTTTTGACCCCCTCTTCCTGAACCTTTCGGCCAACCGGCACTGGCCCTTGTTTTCTTTTGCCCCAAGGCAGGATCCTGCTAAATTTGAAGCGCCTGCGCGCCGGGAAGTGCCCTGTCTATATATATAGATCTACCACGTTTGACCAGAGGCGTAGCGACCATTCCCGGCATCCGGGGACAAACTATCGATTTGCACCCCCCTAAAACTTTTGATTTGCACCCCCCCCTCAAACTTTCGATTACTTTTTCCAACCCATTTTGGGCCCCCCAAAGGTCGGCGCCCGGGGACATATTGCCCCCTGCCCCCCCCCCCCCCCCCCATTGCTACGCCTTTGCGTTTGACGCCCCCTTTTGGTCAGTGTCTGTGGTGGCCGCCCCATCCGCCCTCCCCTAGACACGCCTCAGTTAATATAATAAAATAATTATTGTATTTACTCTAAATGTGTTAATGATTATCTAATTTAATCTTGAATTAGTGATAATAGGGCTTGTAAGTCTCGTTTTCTCTCTCTTTGAAATTATTTTCTTGCGGGCATAAATGAGATATTTTAAATCTGGATTATTTTAGACCAGAAATGAGTTTCAGCCTATCATGAAATAGGTTAAATGGTTTAATTTAAAATTTGATATATATATATATATATATATATATATAAAATTTTAGGGTCCGAAAAAAATTGCTGGGGTGGGGGGGGGCGTTTTAATAAGTTTTGCCTTGGGCGCTAAATAACCTGGCGCCGGCACTGTACATACTTTCCCCTTTCCTTTGGGATTCAAATCTAATGTCTGTTTGGTAAAGTTTGTCGGTTTGCGCTTTTGTATTTTTTTGCCAATAGGGATTTGCCCATCTTATCTACATAATTAACGTTGGTATTTTATCCACTTCCGGGTACCGGAAATCGCTGAAAAGTTGATACAGAACTAAGAATTTGATATTAAACTTATTTATGAAATTTCATTAACCTAGCTTTAACGGTACTCAAGTTATCGTGTTCACAGACCAACATACACACACACAGACATACGGACAAGATTGCAAAATTATGTTTTTCCGACTCAGGGAGATGTAAAATGTTGAAATTTGTAGAAAAAAAAACAACCTCGATTTTCACGAGTTCAATACTTCCTCTTTACTTCGTATACGAGAAAGTAGCGTAAACTCAAAATTTGATAGAAGGCAGAGAATTATATCTTTCACTTATATGTGAAATTTCATTTATCTATCTGAAACAGAACTCAATTTATAGACTTTTGAAAAATTGAAAGTAGAAAAAGTTCCTCTTCCGTTTATCGGAAATCGCTGAAAAGGTGATACGGATCAACACATTTGATATAATACTTATATATGAAATGTCATCAGCGTAGCTGTAACGTTACTCAAGTTATCTTGTTTACAGACACACATATATACATACACACACACACAGATATACGGGCAAGATTGCAAAATTATGTTTTTCCGACTCAGGGAGGTAAAAAGTCTCGATTTTTTTTTGCACGATTACAATACTTTCTCTATACTCTGTATATACGAGAAGGTAAATAAATCGGGAGTGATCTCCCCTAAACTTTCTCGAACATTCGTATATGAAACAACAGGGGATGGCAACTCGGGATATAAACATGCTTTTTAATCCATTTTTAAATACGTAAACTTTTTAAAATAGAATAAAATCTCGTAGAAAAAAGAATTGCACACCAAGTGAACCCGAAATAAAATGTGCATAATAGTGCGGAATATTATTAGTACTTTATAAATAGCGAAAATTACTACTTCGGGTCAACGGAAATTACTCAAAATTAGTAGTAATTTATACTATGTGTATTAAATATATCAAATACATACAATCTATAGTAAAGTCCGAAAAAAATCAGACAGCATTTTATAACTATATTTTTAACCACGCCGCGCATGATTTTAAAAATATTTAATGGACCTCTCGAATACCTTTGCGACTTTTCTTGCTCGGGTTCATTGACTATTCAATAATAAAGTGCAACATGGTGCTATATTTTAAAATTGGAAGATGTGGGAAGCGAATTAAAGATGACGTCATTAATAGTGTGTATAATTTTCTACATTTGATTTTTAATTCTATTTTTATCCTACAATCATCGACGCCACGATTGCTATGTACTTTCCGTAGTTTAAACTTTTTACTAACATTGTTTCATAATGATGTTTTGGTGACTGGACAAATGCTCTCAGGACAAATGATTTCAGACAAAATATCTCAGACAAAAAAATTAAACGGACAAATGATCTCAGGACAAATGATCTCAGATACAAAATTACAATATCCCAGGAAATTTTTTTAATGGAAAAATGATCTCAAGGACAAATGATCTCAGGACAAATGATCTCAGACAAAATATCCCAGACAAAATATTTAACCGTAAAAAAAAAGTGCATCCATACTGTGAATAACTTAGCTCCGCAACGACCGCCAGGGGCGTAGTAACCCATTCCTGCGCCCGGGGCGAACTATCAATTTTGCGCCCCCACCCACTCCCATATTTATATTAAATATTTATATATTTATTCACGTTAGCGAAAAAGGACACCCCCCCCCATCACACAAACACATCAATCACCGTTAATAGTTTTTTTCCCGTATCACACAAGCAACGTAGAAAGCCGTCCGTAGACTAGGACCAAGTAGCTTTCTATTTTCTTAAATTCGACTGTAATGCAGCTCGGAATAAGCATGCTATTTTTTTTCTACTCAATTTGGCGCCCCTTAAGGTCGGCGCCCGGGGCGGCCGCCCCACCCGCCCTCCCCTAGCTACGCCTCTGAGGACCGCTGACTTGGAAGTTAGCAGGTGTCACCTGAGCATTATGGTGTGACCGAAATATAACTATTGACTAAAGCAAGGGTCTCCAAACTACGGCCCGCGGGCCGGATGCGGCCCGCGTAGTCCTCTCATCCGGCCCGCGGAGATCTTTTTGTCCAAGGAAAAAACGTTTGTTGGTGATGGCTGAGGAACTTTGTCCAGAAAAATCAAAGACATGTCTGGAAGTAACTGGTCCCCGAACTGAAATTTGATAGTTAATGCGGCCCTCGGACTGAAAAGTTTGGAGACCCCTGGACTAATGCTTCCAGTACAAAGCGAGTGGACACCTTGCCGCGTGGGTGTGTTTTCATAGACCTTTCATCAGTAGATGAGAAATCCCCCTTTGATCTGGTTTCGTCCACGTAATGTGGTAAGATTGTTTTATGACCGGTAAGCCCATCTACACTGTCTATCGAAACTTACTTTAAATCTACTATTATTATATTTCTAATTGTGATTAGTGTGTAGTGTGACAAACCTATGCGACAGACCTTTACTCACACTTATGTATAATAAAATGTCCTTAAAATCCTTTAGACATTAATTTTTTTTTTAATTTTTAAAATCGACTAAAATTTTCTCTATTAGTACTATACATATTATTTTGACGTGAGATATTTTGTGCTAGATCATTTGTCCATGATATCATTTGTCCTGAAAATATTAGCAAAACTGACAAAGTTCAGAACATTGGTTTGAGGATAATGACAGGAGCTATGAAAACAACGCCTATAAAAGCAATGAAGGAAATAGCCGCTCTTAGCTCAATAGAAGAAAGAAGAGAATAAAAAATCCTCACTTAATACACAAAGCTAGAGGCACTGGAAAACCATAATCTAAAACACAAACTCCAGAAGCCCAGTCCATCAAACAGACTCCAAAGAACAAGTTTCATCAAAGAAGCAAAGAATCTTAAAAAGAAATATGAAATAGAAAACATCATTCCTGAAACAATCAAAACTCAAAACCTCTCCCCGCCTTGGATCTTCCATTGTCATTTAACAATTAGTGACTCAATAGACATCATAGAAAAAAATCTGACTATGATCAAGAAGAACTAAAGAAAATAATAAATAAGCACATTAAGGATCAGTACCACAGCAATACCTGGATTAGAATATTCACAGATGGCTCAGCTGAAGATGCCACAAAAAATTGCGGGGCTGGCGTCCTTATTGAATGGTCAAGCGCAAAAAGCCTGGAAAAGTCAATAGCCACAGGCAGCCTATCCGACGATTTTAGAGCAGAGAAAGAAGCTTTAGAGCATGCAGCAAACCTCCTGTCAGAACACCCTGAATCTCCAAATAGTCAGATAGTATTTCTTACAGATGCTAAATTTGTCCTGCAATCCCTAAAAAATGCAGAGTCCTATACTCAATCGCTTAGGACAGCACTAGAAAGGCTAAAAAATACTTGCAGCAGAATTATGGTGCATTGAATCCCGGGCCACTGCCAGGTACAGGGTAATGAGATTGCGGACCAGCTGGCAAAAATTGGGGGAAAGAAAAAACAATCGGAAATCTCGCTACACCAAAAAGAAATAAAAAGAATAATAAAAAACAAACACAAATGTGGTCTGACACACACCCTCACTACAATAAAGATGATGGATATTACAAATTGACACGAGAACAACAGTACATAATCTTTCGACTCAGAACAGGCCATAACAGACTAAATGCATAAATAAACCGGGAGTGATCTCCCCTAAACTTTCTCGAATATTCTTATATAATTTGGAATATAGACATGATTTTTAATTACTTAAACTTTTAAAAATAAAATAGAATCTCATAGAAAAAAAAACATTGCGCACCAAGCGAACGCCAAAGCAAAATATGCATAATAGAGCGCAATATTATTAGTACTTTATAAATTTACATGCGTTTTTTGAGAAATCGGAAATAGCGTAAATTAGTAATTCCGATCAACGGAAATTACTGGAAATTTGACAGAAAGTAGAGAATTACATCTTTTACTTACATGTGAAATTTCATTTATCTATCTGAAATAGTACTCAAGTTATAGGCTTTTGAAAAATTCAAAGTAGAAAAAGTACCACTTCCCGTTATCGGAAATCGCTCAAAAGTTGATCAGGTTCTACGATTTTGATAAAATACTGATATATGAAATTTCATCAACCTAGCTGTAACGGTACACAAGTTATCGTGTTTACACACAGACAGACAGACACACACAGACAGACATACGGACAAAATTGCAAAATTATGTTTTTCCGTATCATTGAGATGTAAAACGTCGAGATTTGTAAAAAATCTCGATTTTTTTTTTGCACGATTACAAGACTTTCTCTATACTTCGTATATACGAGAAAGTAAAAACTAAAAATTGGGTGTGGCGAAATATGCCCTTGTGGCAAGGCACCGGAAAATACGGAGCACGTCCTTCAGGAATGTATATAACCAGGCGCGAGTCAGACACTGGCCCCTGCTCATCCCACTGAGGGAAAAATTATATGGGCACCTGCTGATCTGGAGACCACAGTCCGGTTTATTCACGAAGTTGGGCTTGTTGTCTAAATCCTCCACCATATTCTCAATTAAGAACGAAGAAGAAAATTTGTCCTGATATATTTAGTCTTGATATATTTTTTCGTGAGATCATTTGTTCTTGAAATCATTTGTCCTGAGATCATTTGTCGAGAAACCTGATATTTTTCTATTTGTTTCATGATACGTCATTCTCTTTGCCAGTGATAGTTTTTGTGGTACTCCATATGTTCTTTTGAGGGTTCTTGTCACAATCATAAACACTTTCCTGTTTCGTAATTAAAGACGTGTTTCTACATTAGAATATGCCTTAATTTTTCGTTTCCTTCTCAAAAATAAAATTTAGTTAATACATTTAGTACATCCAAAATATTACTTACAACAAAAATCCGTATCTTTAAGATCTTTTAATATGATACCTTGTTAATTTCTAAACTAAAATCAGCAGCCTAGACAAAGCTTTAAAAATGTCTTTTATTATTACATTGTAATGCTATGTTAGCTTTGTTTTTCCTGTTTTTATAAAGAGTTGAACCATAGCACTTAGCACACAAGGCTTGTCATCTGCTGTATTTTGTCCCCTTTATTTACATGGTGCGTGATTGGCGAGTGGCTAAGTTATAGTTTACAATGATTTATGTTAAATATATATGTTAGCATTAATAATTTATGATAATTCTGCTTGATCACAATTAGACACACACACACACACAAGTACAAAGCATGCAGCAAAATAGTGTCATCATTTTTGTTAAAATAATATTGGTGTCTTTGCTGATTACGCAAAATAAACTGAAAATATTTTTGAAATGACAAAATGACATACATAAATTAAAAAAGGCTTGATGTTTTTAATTGCTATTAAATCATTGATTTTTTTTCTTTTAAGCTTATGCCTGGCATCTAAATAGATTAACAGATACTATTTTTAAAAAAAGAAAGTGACATGAATATTTGAATTTAGGATACTAATTGTTTTATCATTTTAATTATGTAACATAAAAACATTTTTTTAGGGCTACAACAATTGGACTAATGGTCTCTATGGCTATTCGTGGGACATGATGATACATAGTTGGAGTGTCCAACACATTCGAATAACTTATTATGACAAAGACACAAGAGATTCTGGTTATTTGGATCCCCTGGTAAGTTTATTAAATTCCTTTTCTTTATCATTTTAAATATTTTCACTCAAAATATTTTAGCAATCAGGGCTTGTCAGGTATTGTAATTCAATTTCCAGACAAACGATCATTTGATGTTTTAAATCCAGAAATAGTAAAAGCAATTGAAAACATTTAGTTTCATTACGTATTTTAGCACTAATTCACTAAAAGCTACACTCAGAGGCGTAGCGAGGGGAGGGGGGGGGGCGGACACCATTTAGTGACACCATTTAGGGGTGACACCAAGGCCAAAAATAGCTTAATATATACAGAAAATGATAATTCCACTTAATGAAGTAATTAATTAGAGTGTTAAGTAGTGTTTTAAGAGCAAAATTGACAAATCCCGACAAGGGTCGAGGGGGGGGGGGTGACACCATGACGTAAACCTGCTAATGATAGAGGGAACATGCTACATCAAGCTGTATTTATAACCGACTATAGATAATAAAAATCGTAAGTATTAGTATTATATCTGAGCACAGTTTAAAGAAATCGCCGTGAGGGGGGGGGGGGGGGGGGGCGGTATGGTGTGAAGTTACATGAACTTAACTTTGCAAAATATGTCTGAGGTAAACAGTTTGGTTGAGAATCGTAATAACTTGTGTGTTAATCCATGTATGGGGGGGGGGGGGGAAGGGGGAGGTAAAAAATTAAATACATTAAAAAATGTGAATACATATACACATGCGTATATACATATACAAAAAATTGTCAAGTGATCATGATAATTTATACACGCTTAGCGTTTGTATTAAGTGGCTCTATCAGTATTATCTAAGCGACTGAAGCAAGGATTTCCACATAAACATGTGCAATATAAAACTAGTCTAAATCCAGAAACAAAGTGGACTAGATCTAGATCTATTTGGCACATGCTTAAAAGAGATGAAAAATGACTTTAAAAAAAGCTCTTCTGCAGAATTTAAAAGAAAACAATATCTCAAACCACCCTACGTGGAACAATCATGAATATATATAAATTATATATATATATATATAAATATATATATATATATATATATATATATATATAGCTACAGATCATAACCCCCCTCGGAAATTACCCCCCCCCCCCCCCCGAGCAATTACCACCCTGTCAATTACCCCCATGTCAATTACCCCCCCCCCTCCCCCGGGGATCACCCCACACCCTCAAGTTAGAATCCTAACTCTAACCAAATTTCTACACTTATGCATTACCGTAATCCTAACCTTAAGAAAAAGACCAAAACCTAAGCATCCACCTGAGCCTAAAACTTAAAATAAAACCAAAACCAACGCTAGACATTGGTTTAAGCCTAACCCTAGCCATAGCTATAGCCCTAGCCATAGCTATAGCCATAACCCTAACCCTAGCCATAGCCATAGCCATATCCATATCCATAACCCATACCTTAACCATAAACCTAGCCCTAACTCTAACCCTAACCCTCTCCTGGAATTTCAAAAAACCAGAAAAGTCCTGGAATTCTCCTGGAATTTTAACATTTCTCCTGAAATTTTGTAATATGTCCTGGAATTTTACTCGCATCGATAATTTTAGCGAATATTTTTTTCGCGCGTTAGATTTCTAGGTAATCAGATCTGACCGCCCGAGTAAAAATGTTCCGCCTTTTCAATTCTTCGCATTACAAGGCACACATTTTAAAATATAGACCTAAAGCTGTCTTTAACATGTGGGTTTGGTTTAATTTTTTTTCTCACATCTTTCTATGTGTGCGGCTCTGTTTAATAGGCCTGACTTTTTTTTTAAATTGGAAATTTCAAGTAGGCCTAAGCCAAAATCTAGTTTTTGCGCAGCTAATTTGAATCTACAGTCCGATAGGCTCTAGATCTACTTTCTATTTACATGCGTGTTGTAATACTACCACCCTCCCATCCCGCATCTCAGTTTCTTTCCCACGACAGGGTGGGGGAGGGAGGACCGCTGGTTGGGTATATGAAGTGAACTCTGTGTGACCCGCTAGTGATGTCATCAGCAGTATACTACAGGCCAACTGTAAGCTTAGATTAACTCAAACTGACCCCGCGCGACGGTGTCTAGCTGGAGGAAAAAAAAAACGCTACCGGCAACAAAGAAAACCAACTATATGAAATTCTATTTTTGGCTGAAATATTTTAAATTTTTCAAGTATTAGGGGTCGTCCATAAATGACGTCACACTCGTAGGGGGGAGGGGGGTCCGTAATTTTGTGACGGTGTGTGATGAGGGGGGGGGGGGGGGGTTCAGATGGTGGGACGTCACACTTTTGCATCATAAAAAGCTATGTTAGAAAACGAATTTTAGCCGTTATTTTGCTTTTTAGAAAACTGTTTTAATAAATTGTTATAGGAATTTATCAAAATACTCTATGTTGACGGCGTTCCGACAAGATTTTGGAACAATATCGATGTTTTAAGAAAAAATCAACATTAATTTTGAGAGGGGTTGTAGGCTGAGGTGTGACGTCATTTTAGGGGGGGGGGGGTCTGGCTTTTTGTGACGACGTGTGCCGATGGGGAGGGGGGGGGGGGTAAAAATCGTCAAAAAAAAGCGCGACGTCATTTATGGATGACCCCTTGCCCTTATTTCCAAAATACAGTTTATTTCTAGTAGGACAAATCTAAGCTACTCAGGTTGATCTACTTGTTCATTAAATAATAAAAAGATAAAATTACAGTTAGGCTATTTACTGTTGAAGACTCCCATTTAAATCACAATGCCATGTCCATTTTTAAAAGACAAGACATGGTTTCAGCTGTCCTGTTTGTTTATAATTGAGATTGTTAGTACGGATGATGACATTGGTGAGGAGTTAAGTCACTTGACACTGGGATATAGCTATGATTGCTAGGCTCAATCTGTTTCTCAGTAGCAAACATCTAAATTAATTTATAATTATTTTACTAAGTGAATTTACTCGCACTATTTCAGTAATCATTGAATTGAAAACAAAAGTGCAAACATGTAATTGATTAACATTTTGAATTAGTTTATTGCTGAAATTGTTTTCTAATATTTTTAAAGTTGTGAAATTTTACTTTTTTTTGGGGGGTGGGTGGGATAATAAAGAAGAACTGTTATTTTCAATAGTCTGTTTACATCTCTGTATAATTTATTTCTTTTGTGGTAAGGGAGGGTGGGAAATTTATGAGATCAATTTGTGACAACAGGCCTTAGAACTGGTGCTGGGGAGGGGGTATATAAACGGGCTTAATTTATGGACAGTGAGTAGTTGTTTAAGAAAAGTGTCACATTTATATATTTAACTACTCATTGGCATAAGTGGGGGTGGGGGGCGCCCTGATGAAAAGGGATAAAAAATTTGTTTACAAAAAGCTCATTTTATGCTGAAGTATTGAATTATACACAGTCAAAGTTGAGAAAATAAACTGCTACAAGACTACACACTGATCAATTTTTCTCTCCCTCAATTGTGTAGTACAAAGATTTAATAAATTTACAGGATAGTGACTGGTAAAAAGTGCCACCAAATTTTCCAAAAGGGGGGGGGGGGGGAGGAGAGATAGCAATTTTATGAATAACAATTTATAAATGGGAGGGGTGGGGTGCAAGATTGAATCTACTTTAACTAAACTAAATGGTTTAGAAACAGTTACTTTTAAAAATTACAAATGCTATGCTACATAGCATTTTACAAAATTTACAAAGTATATTATTCGTTTAAATAGATATTTTGTTATAAATTAAGTTATGTATTGTACTGAAATTGTAAAACTTAATTGCGAAAGTGAATTTGATATAATATTTGATTTATACTTTTAAGGAAGCCTTTGCAGTTTTAATAACCTTGCGGGTAATAAGTTTGCGAATACTCCAACAATGCTTGCATGACTTTTTAATTAAGCTCAGGCTCTAAGCACCCCACATAACAGCTAATTTCCAATTAATTAGTTATTCACATTCTCAAATTTTTTTGAAAACATAATACATATACACACACACACACACAGATATATATATATATATATATATATATATATATATATATATATATATATATATATATATATATATATATATATATATATATATATATATATATATATATATATATATATATATATATATATATCTATATATATAATTCTCCTCTTCGAGCCGTTAGAAAACAAGCTGCAAACGCTCTCCCTACCTCCCCACCCCTACATGGTTTTAGTGAGCTGTGTTCACTCTAAATGTTTACAAGCAGAGCCAACGATTTTAAACGTAGGGGGTGGGGGGGGGGGGGGAAGGGGGGGGGGGGGGTTATGGTCCTTAACGAGCTACTTATAGTGTTTTAAAGAAATATTTTCAGTGTCAGCGTTGGTACTGTCGAATTCACAAATTATGAATTATTGAAAATTAGAATCAACTAAATAGCGGCGTATGTTATGCCGCGGGCCGGCTCGTATATATTAAAACAGTGAAATGCTGGTAGATTGTATCTTGGGAGTGTGTGGGTATTGCATCAGGGAGACAGTGGCTGTGCGCATGCGCGAAAGGAACAAGAGAGGACAGGCGAGAAAATGACTAGGTCGGTGTGAACACGCTGCCTGTGTGAAAACGAAATAAATATGAAAACTTCCATTATGAAGGCTTGTCTTTTTGATTTTGTATGCGTAATATAAAAGGTAGGAAAAAGGCCTGTGACAAGTTTATATCGTGAACCCAGTCACACAAAAGGCTTGTGACATTTTGGTGTCAGAAGTGGTCGGTGCTCAGCACCGTGAAGGAAAGAATTAAATCTACATCTAGATTTAGTATTGTAACTGAATACCTGTGCTTGCATCATTACGATGGAGTTCGAGCTCTATGCCAAATTCATGGAGTTGGCTGACTCTTTTGGATACACTGGGGCAGAAAAGGCCAAATGGGTTGAAGATAAAATAGCAGAAAAAAAATATTGGCTGCAGCCGAAAGGGAAGAAAGAGCTTCCGAGAGGGAAGCAGCTAAAGCTAAACAAGTGGCTGATAATGAAAGAGCTAAAATAGAG